TGATTGAGAGCCATGAGATCCGGTGAGACCACGCTATGCTTCTAATGATTGAGAGCCGGGAGATCCGATAAGATCACGCTACACTTCTCATGATAGAGAGCCAGGAGGCCCGATGAGACCATGCTACACCTCCAATGATGAGACCATGATAATCCTTGTTTATTTTGCTTAACATCACTTCTGCAGATAATCAGTAATAAAAAAACAAGATGATAACAATCTTAACAATCTTAGTCACTTCTGCAAAATCTGATCTGACGTAGGATGATCAAGGATATTTTGATGATCGAATGCCAAGACATTTTCAGCAGTTGTATGATGGATCAATCAGATGTGTACCAAGATGCTTCTCCAGCCACCACACAGCTAACCCTAACCTACAGTATTCCATCTGCTGTTTACAGACATTCTAAATATAGCTGGTAGCATTGCACTCAGACAAGAGTTCCTTCCCTTCCCTTGTTGTCGTGGTGATTAGGCTGATTGGTAAACACAGGCCTCTCCTAATGTCTCCAGTAAGTAGATGAGGAGCCCCCAACACCTGCCGCCTGACATACGCCATGCTCATTCAGTATGCCATATATCTAGCCAACATATATATTTCATTGATTTAACACATGACATTTGGCCAAAATTTCAAAAATGTTTCCAAAGTTAAAAAATTGTAGAAAAATGAATCGGTATGAATACAGGTGAATATGATAAATCCTCCTAGTAGATAACCGTTCATATTAACTGACATTAAATATTACAACACTTTGTACTTGTTACAGCCCTAGTTACAACATTGTGTACTTGTTACAGCCCCAGTTACAACATTGTGTATTTGTTACAGACCTAGTTCAGTGTTCCCCCTGGCTTTTGAAACTGCCAGTCCTGGTGGACAGGCAACTTTAAAAATTACCAGTCCCCCTAATTTTTGTCAGTCCCAAATTTCAATAAATTAAAAAAATATATGAAAAGTACCTGTTTTTAGTTCTTTCAACATCATGCTAAATACAATGACGTAATCTCTGACGTAACGTAGTTACATCTACACGTCACTCACACAAAGTTCAGTCACAATTTTCTCCTTTAACATAATATTTTGAGTATGCTACAGCTCTAGTTACAACATTGTATATTTGTTACAGCCCTAGTTACAACATTGTGTATTTGTTACCGACTTACAACATTGTGTATTTGTTACAGCCCTGGTTACAACATTTGTGTATTTGTTACAGACCTAGTTACAACATTGTGTATTTGTTACAGCCCTGGTTACAACATTGTGTATTTGTTACAGACCTAGTTACAACATTGTGTATTTGTTACAGACCTAGTTACAACATTGTGTATATGTTACCGACTTACAACATTGTGTTTTTGTTACAGCCCTAGTTACAACATTGTGTATATGTTACCGACTTACAACATTGTGTTTTTGTTACAGACCTAGTTACAACATTGTGTATTTGTTACAGCCCTAGTTACAACATTGTGTATTTGTTACAGACCTAGTTACAACATTGTGTATTTGTTACAGACCTAGTGACAAAATTGTGTATTTGTTACAGACCTAGTTACAATATTGTGTATTTGTTACAGCCCTAGTTACAACATTGTGTATTTGTTACAGACCTAGTTACAACATTGTGTATTTGTTACAGCCCTAGTTACAGCATTGTGTATATGTTACCGACTTACAACATTGTGTTTTTGTTACAGACCTAGTAACAACATTGTGTATATGTTACCGACTTACAACATTGTGTATTTGTTACAGACCTAGTTACAGCATTGTGTATATGTTACCGACTTACAACATTGTGTATTTGTTACAGCCCTAGTTACAGCATTGTGTATATGTTACCTACTTACAACATTGTGTATTTGTTACAGACCTAGTTACAACATTGTGTATTTGTTACAGCCCTAGTTACAACATTGTGTATATATTACAGCCCTTGTTACAACATTGTGTATTTGTTACAGCCCTAGTTACAGCATTGTGTATAGGTTACCGACTTACAACATTGTGTATTTGTTACAGACCTAGTTACAACATGGTGTATTTGTTACAGCCCTAGTTACAACATTGTGTATATATTACAGCCCTTGGTACAACATTGTGTATTTGTTACAGACCTAGTTACAACATTGTGTATTTGTTACTGACCTAGTTACAAAATTGTGTATTTGTTACAGACCTAGTTACAATATTGTGTATTTGTTACCGACTTACAACATTGTGTTTTTGTTACAGCCCTAGTTACAACATTGTGTATTTGTTACAGACCTAGTTACAACATTGTGTATTTGTTACAGCCCTAGTTACAACATTGTGTATATGTTACCGACTTACAACATTGTGTATTTGTTACAGCCCAAGTTACAACATTGTGTATTTGTTACAGCCCTAGTTACAACATTGTGTATATGTTACCGACTTACAACATTGTGTATTTGTTACCGACTTACAACATTGTGTATTTGTTACAGACCTAGTTACAACATTGTGTATTTGTTACAGACCTAGTTACAACATTGTGTATTTGTTACAGCCCTAGTTACAACATTGTGTATATGTTACCGACTTACAACATTGTGTATTTGTTACAGCCCAAGTTACAACATTGTGTATTTGTTACAGCCCTAGTTACAACATTGTGTATTTGTTACAGCCCTAGTTACAACATTGTGTATATGTTACCGACTTACAACATTGTGTATTTGTTACCCACTTACAACATTGTGTATTTGTTACAGCCCTAGTTAAAACATTGTGTATATGTTACCGACTTACAACATTGTGTATTTGTTACTGACCTAGTTACAACATTGTGTATATGTTACCGACTTACAACATTGTGTATTTGTTACAGCCCTAGTTAAAACATTGTGTATATGTTACCGACTTACAACATTGTGTATTTGTTACTGACCTAGTTACAACATTGTGTATATGTTACCGACTTACAACATTGTGTATTTGTTACAGACCTAGTTACAACATTGTGTATTTGTTACTGACCTAGTTACAACATTGTGTATTTGTAACAGCCGTAGTTACAATATGGTGTCGGTTTGTCCTGGCTTCCAACAAATTATTTGCCTGTGAATTCAGTCAGGACAGTAAAAGATATTTGTCATATTTTCATATAGCAAAACAGGTTTCAGCAGTAATTAAGAACCCTAATATTCGTCAAGCCTCGCATGTCTGGGGTAACATCAGGCCTTTCCCAGCTAATCTCGGTAAAGACACAAGTTGTTTACGACTGTAATCCATGGTTAAAGTGTCATTACATTTGTGGCTTACCTCAGTCGGCCCTCCAGTGTTCTACAAATTGTGCTGACAAAGCTAAACTTTACTTCAGTTCAATCTTGCCCACACAAAATGTGCTAAAATAGCATCAGGTGAAAGTTATTGAACATTACGTTTAATAATTTCCTCAAGACTCAACATTCTCTAGTGGGACATAACACGTCCTTGATGTTGCTGAAGAGGAACAAAAAACTCTTCCATTTGACAATTATCGCCTAAAGACAGTTTTAAGACACACAAAGATATTTAAAATGCCATACAATCTGACCAAAAAAGTCACCAAGTAAACCAAACCAGAAACAGAGACTCTTTTGTGTCAACTGAGAAACATATTGAAAATCAATTCTCACATCTATTCTGAATTAATGGTATGATGTCAAGCAGTTCATCCGACACTGATTGTAACTTCCATGAAGAATTTGGCCAGTCAGCTGGCTTCTTAGAGCAAGCATGGATGGCAAGCAGGTAGATGATAGTTCTCCATGTTTCAGTGCCCACTGACAGTGACATCAGTAGACAGGCACTTGAGGTCTTCCCCAGTAAGGTGAAGCAAACTAGACAGTTGAGGTTCCCAGGACAGGTCCGGTCAAAACGACTGTGTCTGTCCTCACCTTGATGTGCAGCTAAACAGACTTACAGATCTGACACCCTGGGGACCACAACAACCCTGTGATATCAGACCCCCCACGCCCACTCGTCTGCGGGGAACTAAACATGACTCTCTTGGTATTGATGAAGTAATTCAGATAAAAAATGCGGGGAACTAAACGTAAATCTCTTCTTAAAAGCATGACAAAAAAACTAAAAAGAATTTCAATTAAAAGTCTATGTGCTGCTGTCATACCTATCAGTCCATCAATAGTCTAAGCTCTATTGTAGCTATCTATTGTGCACCCTATTGCGACGACCTATCTACAATGTTTGTTCTACCTATGTCCAACCTTGACGAGCTATACCGTATTCGACGTAATAAGCGCCCCGCTCTTATAAGCGCCCACGGCGATATTTGCTAATATATTGGCTAGTGAACAATCCTATTTAGCACCCCTTCCGATAGATCAATGTACACAAGACTTATTTATTCGTGTATAATACGCACTCGTGTGTTATGCACCCTTAATTATGGACAATTAAGTTCTGGAAGAATATATCTGGCGTATGCAAACATTTTAGGCTGTCACCATAAACCACGAAATTTACGATCTTTCAACTCTGTTTTTTTCACCAAAATAATATTCTAATAAGAGCCCACTATTCCTAATTTTGAGAGCGCCCTGGGTGCTTATTACGTTGAATACAGTAATACAAATTTGTTGAATGTACATCCTATAGAGCCGAGATATCAAACCAAAACTGACCTGAAGTGAGTCAGATTTACCTCATTTTGCACGTGCTCGGACAGCACGCGCTATGTCATACTTTTGTTTTCTCCGTGAAGCAAGTTGCATTCCAACTGTGTTCCTGCTATCTCTTCATGCTTAACATGTCTTCAAACCATGAGTGCATTCAAGTATCTTCAAACATGACTGGGTCACAATTCTGTTCTTGTTGATGGTGCAACATGTGTTTCAATCTAATACTTTGTCATGTTATGGATAAAATGTTGCTCCCTACATTCTACAAAATGTGTACATATACTCGGAGCAGGGGCATCATTGGCAAGGCCTGAACCCAGACCAGCCACCTATCTACTCACCTATCTTTGGTACATGGTTCTGCTGGCTCTCCTCCGGCTCCCGTAACACTCCTTTACGTATTAACTCCTCTCGACTTGTTCGCATAGATATTTTTCTCTCTAAATCTGAAAAAATACACACAGTGTTAACAATGGCGGCGGAACATTTGGCCATCTATGTTTCGTACAAGACAGTCTGTCCTACCTGCATGAACTGTTGATATACCTGTATGAGCTGTAGATAAACATGAATGAGATATACTGTAATCAAACATACTGCCGATATACCTGTTGAGGTATAGTTTCACCATACATACAGCCGTTGTCAATATACCTATATGAGCTATAGTTTCACCATACATACTGCCCATGTCAATATACCTATATGAGCTATAGTTTCACCATATATACAGCCCATGTCAATATACCTATATGAGCTATAGTTTCACCATACATACTGCCAATGTCAATATACCTATATGAGCTATAGTTTCACCATACATACTGCCCATGTCAATATACCTATATGAGCTATTGTTTCACCATATATACAGCCCATGTCAATATACCTATATGAGCTATAGTTTCACCATATATACAGCCCATGTCAATATACCTATATGAGCTATAGTTTCACCATATATACAGCCCATGTCAATATACCTATATGAGCTATAGTTTCACCATACATACTGCCCATGTCAATATACCTATATGAGCTATAGTTTCACCATACATGCAGCCCATGTCAATATACCTATATGAGCTATAGTTTCACCATACATACTGCCCATGTCAATATACCTATATGAGCTATAGTTTCACCATACATACTGCCAATGTCAATATACCTGTATTTATTTAATCACATATTTCTTATCAACATTGCAGGTCAAATGTCAAAGGTCACTCACCTACTGCTGTCTTTTCTATCTTTTCGCTCTTTTTCTTTCGCCGCCATTTCCATGGCTTGAATATTTTACCTAGAGCTGCAAACTTGCTGCTTTTTCTTTCAGGTGGTGGAGTATTAGTTCCTAGTGATCCTGACTTTAGCTCGCCATTTCTCCGTGAATCTGTAAAAGACCACAAAGACACTAGAATGCTGCTTGCTGGGGAGCTGGTCATGTTCGAGCAAGATGGCCTCTGTTGCCAGCTGTGTGGCATAAGCTCAGCAACATCGCTGGCGACATCTGGACAGATTAAGTCAAGTTTACCTATACAGCAAAATGAACTGTGAGGAAGACAACCAACAATCACTGAGATTGTTGATGCTGACAGTATTACAGGTTCCTTCTGTAAGCCAATGTGGCTGCAACCATCAACTGTAAGAGCTAGGACCAACACCTCACCACCCACCCTAGCAGGGACCAACACCTCATCACCCACCTCACCACCCACCCCAGCAGGGACCACCACCTCACCACCCACCCCAGCAGGGACCACCACCTCACCACCCACCCCAGCAGGGACCAACACCTAACCACCACCCCCAGCATGGATCAACACCTCACCACCCACCCCAGCAGGGACCAACACCTCACCACCCACCCCAGCAGGGACCAACACCTCACCACCCACCCCAGCAGGGACCAACACCTCACCACCGACCCCAGCAGGGACCAACACCTCACCACCTACCCATCACATCCCAGTATGTACTGAGACCGCCTCCGTGGTCTAGTGGTAGAGCATCTGCCTGGAGGGCAGAAGGTCTGGGGTTTGTTCCCCGGCCGCGTCATACCAAAAGATGTTAAAGGATTGTAGTTGTTGTTACCCTGTCTGGCGCTCGGCATTTAAGGGTTAAAAAAAAGGACTGGTCGGTTTTGAGTCAGTATAATGTGTCTGAGTGGAGTATTCATGTTAAACTAAGGTATCTCAGTGAGTTAGTACTATAAAAATCGGCATCAGTCCGGACTAGTACAAGCAGCCACACATACACAAACACATGCATGCACATCGCTATATAAGTGCAATAATCTTGGACACGCTTTAAACCCCATTTCACCTCACCCAGTACGTACCAAAACCTCACCCACCCATCACACTCCAGTACGTACCAACATCTCACCACCCACCCATCACACCCCCACCAATCACACCCCAACAAGTACCAACACCTCACCCCCACCCATCACACCCCAACAAGTACCAACACCTCACCCCCACCCATCACACCCCAACAAGTACCAACACCTCACCCACCCATCACACCCCAACAAGTACCAACATCTCACCATGCACCCATCGCACCCCAGCAAGTACCAACACCTCACCCACCCATCACACCCCCACCCATTACACCCCCCTCCATCACACCCCAACAAGTACCATCATCTCACCCACCCATCACACCCCCACCCATCACACCCCAACAAGTACCAACATTTCACCACGCACCCATCACACCCCAGAAAGGACTGCTCATTCAGTGCCCATTGTTATACATTACTTAGGCACAGACTCATTCTGTGATAGTCTGTTCATACTGTTATACATTACTTCCTATTTCAAGGCAAAGAGTCTGAGTGAAACATATCCTGCACCGTCTGTTGTGGGAAATCCCACATGATGTACAGCCACTTGAGCTAGCTACAATGGATGACATTCCACAGATTCAGCCAAGCATGAACTGTGTCGAGTTACTTTCTGACTAAGCTATTTCCCCAGGGGATGAAAACTGGAATCTGTTTTTTGTAAATTTAATGCTTATAGTTCTGTAGAATTCACTTGTTTATATATATATTGATTTTAACTGTAACATGATATATAACATATATAACATATATAACATATATATAATATTACAGTTACAATCAATATGTAAAATGATAAAATAAAATTGTCACTTAGGCCATTTATAACACGCCCAAATATTTCAGACATTTCACAATTATTTTTACGTCATGTCTGCTTAAAGTAATTTTTTTTTACATTGTAAAATGCCTGAAATATTTTGACATTTTGTAAATTGCCTAAGTTATTTTACACTTTGACTCTCTATCCTTTCAACACAGGATTCATTCGTATAGTATACATAATTCTTGTACAAACATCCAGGTTATATTTACAGATGGATATACATCAATATGGCTCCTCTGGCAAATTCGAAATGCCTCTGTTCAACCTGAATGGGTACCCGGTAGGAGGAGATGTAATGTGACCGTTAACCTAGCGCTTCATAGGCAGCTAAGGGTTGTATACTCCCTAGGGAGCTAAGAAATAAAGTCGAGTCCACATTGCTCCATTACTGGGGTAAAAATGGTATTAGTGCCTTGACAATGCATCAACAGACTATCCTATTATTATAATTCTTTCCAGATACCAAGAGTTACTTAAGGAACAACCAAATGAACTACAACAACTGCTTGAGATACAGGTCAGGGATAGGACAGTTTGGGCTTTGGGCCCCAAATAAGGATCTTAAAAATCTCCTAGCTCAATACAACCATCCCTGGTTCAATACTTTCACATGGAATCACACCACATAATGAGGCTTAATGCTACCCAATCACCTGCCATCGCTAGCCAGTGTGGGAGAGACTCAGTGTGACAACTGAAGCATGACTGTCACGACACTCAAACACCGCTCATCCTACTGTTTACAGCAATAACAATGACTGCTCACAATAGTGTGTACAGCAATAACAAGCCTCTGCTAGCTGTTCCTCATTTATCGATGGACGTCACATAATGTAATCATGTTATCATGGCAATACATCTATAGAGAGAGTCATCACATTCAATTAATTCCAGGACTTAGCTGGATGTTGGAATTTCAGCAGGATCTGCAATGGGTTTTCAATTAATTATGCACATACCGTGCACCTGCTTCGCCATAGACAGACAGACCTACAAGCAACTGCTTCACCATAGACAGACAGGACTTATAACAAGCAACTACTTTGCCATAGACCGACAGGCCTACAAGCACCTGCTTTGACAAAGACCAACAGGCCTACAAGCAACTACTTTGCCATAGACCGACAGGCCTACAAGCACCTGCTTTGACAAAGACCGACAGGCTTACAAGCACATGCTTTGCTATAGACCGACAGGCCTACAAGCAACTGCTTCGACATAGACCGACAGGCCTACAAGCAACTGCTTTGCCATACTACGACAAGCCTACAAGCACCTGATTTGCCATAGACCAACAGGCCTACAAGCACATGCTTTGCCTAGACCGACAGGCCTACAAGCACATGCTTTGCTATACTATGACAAGCCTACAAGCACCTGATTTGCCATAGACTGACAGGCCTTCACACACCTGCTTCCTGCTTCACCATAGACCGACAGGCCTTCAAGCACCTGCTTTACCATAGACAAACAGGCCTTCAAGCACCTGCTTTACCATAGACAAACAGGCCTACAAGCACCTGCTTTGCCAAGGGAATTCCCAGGTTTTTCCTCAGGAATGTGGAAGTAGTCCGACAGTATTTACTTCATTTCAAGACTACAGTCTCGCGAAAAACGTATGAACCTCAAATTGTGTCTTTCATACACTTATGAACGTCAGTTTTGCGGGACCGTTTCATGTGACCAGCCTTTCTTCCAATGGAAAAGCTGTATATTGTATAAACTTCAGATTAAAAAATGATTGCAGGTTAGGGGGATCAGTCAACATGGTCATGAAACTTTCAAACAGAGTTATCAGAGTTACCGGTGTAAACAGTGCCCTACATCCACTCATGCAGTGGGTCAGTGGCACACGTGTGACAATATTTGTGGTTTGCATCAGGTGCATGTGGAATTCTCCACCATGACCGGAGTTTGACACTTAGTGAGGACTTGTGACCAGGAAGCTGGCTGCTACAAGGGAGTGTGTGCTGTTGCCACCGTAGTGCTACATTCCTCACAACTACTTTACACAGTTATTTCCTGCACACTCACTACGTGCAACAATGCCACAAATACTCAAATTAATACAAGTTTATTGAAAGGTTAAACTGGAATAAACTCAGTATGCGTGTGTGAGTTTACAAGTATTTGTGCGTGTGTGCATGTGTGTGTCTGTGTTCGCATGAGTGTATGTGACTGTGTGTTTTTGTGTGTGTGTGTGGGTGTGCGTGTGCGCGCCCGTGCGGTGTGGTGTGGCGTGTGTGTGTGAGAGTGCGTGCATGTTTTCATGCCTGTGTTTTAGTGTCGGGGTCAGACTCCATGTATGAGTGGGAGTGAGTGTGGCAGAGTGTGTGTGGTACTGTTTATGTTTTGTATTTGTTTGACACTACCCTGTGCAATATTCTGCATATATAATGACGAAGGTTTTCAAACAATTAAGTCTGAACCAGACAATACAGTGATTAACATCATGAGCATCTACACTGTTGGGACACACTGAGATGCATCAACCAAGTCAGCGAGCCTGACCACCCAATCCGATGAGTCACCTCTTCCGACAAGCGTGGGTTGCTGAAGACCACTTGTAACCCGGATCTTCAGTGTGGCCAGTGTTTATGACTGCTAGCGGTGGTGAGAGGGAGAGTGTGTGAGTGTGTCCTGCTATGTTCACAACAACTCCAGCCATGGGTAATAAATATCAGCCCTCCTTCACTGGAGAATGTAGTTAGATTTCCATGGCGACCACCACCCACCTGAGACCCTGATTATATGACAGGGCTTAGAGAATTGTTTACGTACTGACTCCATTACCCAGGTAGTTCCCACACAGCCAGTACAGTGGAAGGTAGAACATTACACGTTATCTACAGTGAGGTAAGGCATCATGTAGCCTATCGCCAGCATACATGGAGCAAGTTCCTGGACAAAATACAACTACTACATATATGTGAGAGTGTTCTATGTCCCTCACAGTCACCAACAACCACTACATATATATGACACTGTTCTACGTCCCTCACAGTCGCCAACAACACTACAGTCGCCAACAACCACTACATATATATGACACTGTTCTACGTCCATCACAGTCGCCAACAACACTACAGTCTCCAACAACCACTACATATATGTGACACTGTTCTACATCCCTCACAGTCGCCAACAACCACTACATACATGTGACACTGTTCTACGTACCTCATCGTCGCCAACACTACAGTTGTCAACAACC